AGGGGAGGGGGGGGTCCCAGCGCCCCCAGTTTGGGTGGGGGGCTCCAACTGGTTTTACTGGGAGGAGCCACCGGTGAGGGGGGGATGGGAGCCCACAGGGACCCCCCGAACCTCCAAAATGGCCAAAATCCCTTAAAACGGCCCAGAAATCGCTTAATTCGGGTTTAAATCGCTTAATTCGGGTTAAATCACTTAATTCGAGTTTAAATCGCTTAATTCGGGTTAAAATTGCTTAATTGTGGTTTAAATCGCTTATTTCGGGTTTAAATAGCTTAATTCAGGTTTAAATCGCTTAATTCGGGTTTAAATCACTTCTAGTTTAAATCAATTCTGGTTTAAATCACTTGATTCGGGTTTAATCGCTTAATTTGGGTTTAAATCGCTTAATTTCGGTTTAAATCGCTTGATTCTGGTTTAAATCACTTAATTCGGGTTTAAATCGCTTATTTCGGGTTTAAATCGCTTAATTCGGGTTTAAATCGCTTAATTCGGTTTAAATCGCTTAATTGTGGTTTAAATCACTCAATTCGGGTTTAAATCGCTTAATTGTGGTTTAAATCACTTAATTGTGGTTTAAATCACTTAATTCGGGTTTAAATCGCTTAATTCGGGTTTAAATCGCTTGATTCTGGTTTAAATCACTTAATTCGGGTTTAAATCGCTTATTTCGGGTTTAAATCGCTTAATTCGGGTTTAAATCGCTTAATTCGGTTTAAATCGCTTAATTCGGGTTAAAATCGCTTAATTCGGGTTTAAATCGCTTAATTCGGGTTTAAATCGCTTAATTCTGGCTTAAATCACTTAATTGTGGTTTAAATCGCTTAATTCTGATATAAATCAATTGATTCTGGTTTAAATAAATTAATTCTGATTTAAATAAATTGATTCTGGTTTAAATAGCTTAATTATGATTTAAATCGCTTAATTATGGCTTAAATCGCTTAATTATTGTTTAGATCATCTCATTCTGGTTTTAATCACTTGATTCTGGTTGAAATCCCTTAATTCAGATTGAGATCCCTTAGTTCAGGCTGAAAACTCCTAATTCAGGTTGAAATTCCTTAATTCTGATTAAAATCCTTTAATTCAGGCCCAAAAACTTCAATTCAGGTTGAAATCCCTGAATCCAGATCCCTTAATTTGGGTCTAAACCTCCTAATTTAGGCCTAAATCCCTTAATTTGGGTCTAAATCCCCCAAACCGGACCCCAAATCCCTTAATTTGGGTCTAAATCCCCCAAACCGGACCCCAAATCCCTTAATTTGGGTCTAAATCAAATAAACCTGACCCCAAATCCCTTAATTTGGGTCTAAATCCCCTAAACCGGACCCCAAATCCCTTAATTTGGGTCTAAATCCCCCAAACCGGACCCCAAATCCCTTAATTTGGGTCTAAATCCCCCAAACCGGACCCCAAATCCCTTAATTTGGGTCTAAATCCCCCAAACCAGACCCCAAATCCCTTAATTTGGGTCTAAATCAAATAAACCTGACCCCAAATCCCTTAATTTGGGTCTAAATCCCCCAAACCGGACCCCAAATCCCTTAATTTGGGTCTAAATCAAATAAACCCGACCCCAAATCCCTTAATTTGGGTCAAAGTGAGAGGATCATTTTTTGATTGAGGCAAATCCAGTTTAATTATCCGGAAGAATTAAAATTATCGGGAAAGGGACGTAAAAAATCCCCAAAAGCGAAGAACCGCGGCCACCACCCCCTGTCCTGTCCTGTCCCCTGCCCTGTCCCCCGGTCCTGTCCCTGCTCCTGGTGGCAACCATGGCTCTGTCCCCTTGTCCTGGCCACGGTGGCCACGGTGGCTTTGGTGGCCATGGTGGCCTTGGTGGCCTTAGTAGACTTGGTGGCTTTGGTGGCCTTGGTGACCTTGGTGACCATGGTGGCCTTGGTGGCCACAGTGGCTACAGTGGCCATGGTGGTCATAGTGGCCTTGGTGGCCTTGATGGTTGTGGTAGCCTTGGTAGCCTTGGTGGCTACAGTGGCCATGGTGGCCATGATGGCCTTGGTGGCCTTGGTGGCCACAGTGACCATGGTGACTGTTGTGGCCATGGTGGCTACAGTGGCCATGGTGGCCATGATGGCCTTGGTGGCCAGGGTGGTCTTGGTGGCCTTGGTGGCCACAGTGACCATGGTGGCTACAGTGGCCATGGTGGCCTTGGTGACCTTGGTGGCCATAGTGACCACGGTGGCCTTGGTGGCCATGGTGGCTACAGTGTCCTTGATGGCTTTGGTGGCCATGGTGACCTTGGTGACCTTGGTGGCCACAGTGGCCATGGTGATCACGGTGGCCTTGGTGGCCATGGTGGCTACAGTGGCCTTCATGGCTTTGGTGGCCATGGTGGCCGTGGTGGCCTTGGTGGCCATGGTGGCCTCAGTGGTCACAGTGGCCACAATGGCCATGGTGACAGTGGTGACTCCAGTGGCCCAATAACCACGGTGGCCAAAGTGACCACAGTGACAGTGGTGGCCTTGGTGGTGGCCTTGTGGCTCAGGGGGTCCTGGTGGCCTTGGTGACCCCAGTGCTCGTGGTGGCCAAAGTGACCACAGCAACCACAGTGGCCAAAGTGACCGTGGTGGTGGCCTTGTCACTCAGGAGGTCCCGGTGTCCTTGGGTGGCCGCAGTGACCTCGGTGACCTTGGTGGCCTCATGGCTCAGAGGGTCCTGGTGGCCGCAGTGACCACAGGGACCTCGGTGTCCTTGGTGGCCATAGTAGCCTCAGTGACCTTGGTGGCCTCGTGGCTCAGAAGGTCCTGGT